AACATGTGGAGAACATGTAAACTCCACACAAACATGTGGAGAACATGTGGAAAACATGTAAACTCCACATAAACAAGTGGAGAACATGTAAACTTTGTGTGGAGAACATGTAAACTCCACACAAACATGTGGAGAACGTGTAAACTCCACACAAACATGTGGAGAACATGTAAACTCCACACAAACATGTGGACAACATGTAAACTCCACACAAACATGTGGAGAACATGTAAAGTCCACACAGACATGTGGGGAACATGTAAACTCCACACAAACATGTGGAGAACATGTGGAGAATAAGTAAACTCCACACAGACATGTGGAGAACATGTAAACTCCACATAAACATGTGGAGAACATCTAAACTCCACATAAACATGTGGAGAACATGTAAACTCCACACAAATATGTGGAGAATATGTAAACTCCACACAGACATGTGGAGAACATGTAAACTCCACACAAATATGTGGAGAATATGTAAACTCCACACAAACATGTGGAGAACATGTAAACTCCACACAAATATGTGGAGAACATGTAAACTCCACACAAACATGTGGAGAACATGTAAACTCCACACAGACATGTGGAGAACACGTAAACTCCACACAAACATGTGGGGAACATGTAAACTCCACACAAACATGTGGGGAACATGTAAACTCCACACAGACATCTGGAGAACATTTAAACTCCACACAGACATGTGGGGAACATGTAAACTCCACACAGACATGTGGGGAACATGTAAACTCCACACAAACATGTGGGGAACATGTAAACTCCACACAAACATGTGGGGAACATGTAAACTCCACACAGACATGTGGAGAACATGTAAACTCCACACAAACATGTGGGGAACATGTAAACTCCACACAAACATGTGGGGAACATGTAAACTCCACACAAACATGTGGGGAACATGTAAACTCCACACTGACATGTGGAGAACATGTAAACTCCACACAGACATGTGGAGAACATGTAAACTCCACACAAACATGTGGAGAACATGTAAACTCTACACAATCATGTGGAGAACATGTAAACTCCACACAGACATGTGGAGAACATGTCAACTCCACACAGAGAGAAGTCCCAACTTGGGACTGAACCAGTACCCTCTTGCTGTGAGGCATCAGTGATAACCACTAATGTATCATGCTGCTATTTGAATGCTATTCACGATAAATGTATAAGCTATTACAAGTTTGTTGTTTTTGTATAGAAGATTAGGTAATCTAACTTAATTTGCAAGTGTTTCTGTCCTATTCTAACTTATTAAAGCTGCATCACAGAACTAAAGAAGCATTTTCAAAACAGCTTGGTTTATTCAGTCCAAACTTAAAGGGTACATATGATGAAAAATCCAATTATTTGGCCATTAAATACATTTTGTTACAGACTGTGAGTCTCGAGGAGTGCAGAAAATGTAACTCGAGTTTCTCCTGGTGCTGCTTAGATATCTTTATATCCTTTTTGGGTTATATTTTTCAACCCACTCAGTTTTCTCTAACTTCTATGACATTTTCTGAACTATTACTTCAAATTATTTGCAACAGAATAGACATATAAGGTCTGGAGTTACCAACTACAGTTTGGTGGTCTTCATTCTCCTCTGGCTCTGGGTCAGGCTCTGGCTCCAACATGTAAGGCTGGATGGACAAGTCTTCGGTTGTTGACATTTTTATTTGTAAATAAAACGTTTCTGTGCCGCTATATTATTGTAAACCCCTCAATCAAACTGGAATGAACCACTCTGGAAGCTGGAGGGGAGCGGGGTGTGATGTGCCTCATTTGGATTTCAAGAGACAGTCTCAAAATGAGTTGATCTGAGACACACCTCAAAACAGGGGTGAAACAGAGGCTGGTAAAGTTAAAATAAGGAGGAATTCGGACCAAAGCTTTGCAGTTCCACTCCAACTTTTGTGGGATTTAAATGTGAAAAAGAAGAATTTAAAAGAATATGTCTACTTTAAACATGTTTGTTTGGGTTTTTTTTTTTAAACTTCAAACTCTTGAGCCATCCTGATGATCACTATCAGCAGGCCCTAATTGCTTCGTCTTGCAGCCCGTTTAGCTGGACTTTATATTTATCTAGTTCGTCTGCTCCTGACATTTTTTTTTCCCTCTGGTGTTGGATCTTGAACTGACAATTGTGCAGTGAACGCCCAAAAACAATTACAAAAATGGTTCACAGACAAAATCCCCTGATTGAGTCAGGCTGAGCCATTTCTAAAGTCGCTCATCACGTCTTTTTCTTTTGTTGTAAATTAATAAAAAAGCTTTAATGCCACTGAGATGCAAATCTAAAGCTTTTTAATGCCTTAAATGTAGCTAAATCCATTAAATGACGTTTGCTGCCCCAATGAAACCCTGCTGTGTTTACAGTAAAGTGACATTATGTCACGACTCACCTGAAGTTCTCACTCAGTTTGAAGTGTTTGTGTCTGTCAGGATAGGAAAGGTTCAATCCATATTTTCCTTCCTGAAGTTTTAATCCGTGTTTACCTGACAAGGATGCGTTTAAGGAGCTGCTGGTCCCCTGTGGTGTAGCCCGGCCAGTCTTTCTGCAGCTCCTTAAAAAGACTGTCCTTCAGAACAAAGGTACCATCTCTGCCGCTGGGCTGGCCAACCTGCACACAAACATCAAACTCAACTCTCCTCGTTTCATTCAGATGTCTCCATCTGTTTATTTGAGGCCGACTCGGTTTCTAACCCACCTCCACCATGACGGAGTCCAGTCCGTCTTTGTCTCCTGCGGTCAGCCCGTCCCTCTGCAGCCTCAGGATCAGCTCAGGCCTCTTGTACGGCCTCAGCGCCAYCAGGTGCATGACTCTCTCCCTGAGGGGCCTCTCCTGGATGCCCTCCACACTCTTCCTGTTTCCAGGGCAGGGACCCTTCCTCTGCCTCGATGCGCCCACCCCCCTTTTAATGCTGCTGAGGAGCGGGTGAGACGAGTGTTTGGGTTTGGTCAGTTTGGCCAGAGCCGGTGCTGGAGCTCGCACCATCACCTTCTTCCCTGCAGGGGGAAGGGAAATAAAAGGAAAAAAAAAACATAAAGTCGCAAAAAAAAAAAAAAGACGCAGGAGGAAGAGCACCTTTTCCACGAGCAGAGGTGTGGATTTAAAGGGTTCCATGATTAGTTGTAACATTTGACTTTATTTAATAAACAACTATTTTAACTGTAAAATAAAGAC